AGCCCCCAACAGGAGCGTGGGAAGTTTAAGAAGATGAGACTGGCACCACCCTAAGGAATTCGCGGTGCTTTGGCTTGCTGGCTTGGGAAGTTAGATTCAGTCTGGAGAGATTTCTGTCTTGAGGTGGAAGCTAATAAACGCAAGAGAACTGTATCTGCACTGTCTCGTGGAGTTCTTTGGGCTGAACCTGACATCTGTTCAGCTGGGTTCTCTTTAGTTTTAGGATTTGTGTGGAGAACAGATCATGTTTTAGGTCATAGTTATGCAGAAATATTGAACATTCAAAAGGGTTCACAAATTTTTAAGCACCACTGTATATCTTTCATATATTTTCCAACTAATTTTTTCCTTGGATTAAGGATGAGCCTTTAAAACAGATGGTTGTTTACCTAAATCAGGAGCCATCTACTGAGACTTTGGGGCTACTTACAGGTCTCAGAAACCTTGAGTATATCTCCCACAGCCCCTTCAAGACTTTCACTAAATTGGAATGCAATGTAAATTAAATCCAATTTAGTTTACGTGTTAGCTCCATCTAAATCAAATCAAATCAAATCTTTATTACAGTCGTAGACCAGCATAGCTCAATCTATCTTTTCACTTATAGTCCTTATAGTCCCCAGCCTGCCATTCAAATATGGCTTTTTGCCTAGAAGAAAAACCCAGTTCCATGATCTAACATGTTTCCCCCTCCTCTTAAATATCTTTTCCTAATTTGAGTTTTGTTCCTTTACTTATATCACTGAACATTTTTCAAGAGACACCAATGTAAGAATTGTGAATTTACATCAGAACTGTAATAATCTGATGTCTAACAGTGGTCTCATGACTGGACACCGGACACTATTAATGAATATCACCATCAGTTTTCTTCAAATAAGACCAAGACTACAGCCCTCTATCATTAAGAGCTTTTTTCCTTCTCCCCAACATTTGGTGATTTGACACAGAAGGAAATTAATTTCATTCAGCAGTTCAAGTCTTACTTTAGTAGGGACAAATAAGAGATGAATAAGAATAAAAAGTAACTTTGAGATAACTGGCTTTTTCGCATGCCACAATGGTTAGAATGAGTCAAATCTCGCTTTGGGCAGAAAGTGCACTGGGTGAATTTGGGCCAACCCAAATGTCTCCCAAATCTATCTCATGGGGTTATTGCTGTGAAGTTAAAATGGAGTGAGCTGGGGAACCATGACTATATTACCTTCAGTTACTGAAGAAAAGATGGAATATAAATGTAATTAAAAAGTGTTCATTTTGGTTCAACTTGGTGATACTATAAATAAATAAATAAATAAATTCTTAAAGATCTTTTTAAAAGTTTTTAGCTTTATTCTGTCTCATGCAACTTATATGATCGCATATTCACATTCTTGCTGTACAGAATAATTGCAGAAGGAGAGGATTACTTGAGAGCAATGTCTTGTTAGATTAAAGGTGCGCCATAAGTAACAAAGACATATTTTGGGCTTCTCTGATTTACATCGTTGCATTTTGTGCTTACAGAGTTGCATGGGAACCGATGGGAGATGGAAAAAAGTTGATTTCTCTGGCTGATAATCACTTGCTTCTATGGGATTTACAACAAAGTTCAACGAAGGCTGTGGTAAGGAGTGTGTCACACTATAATGTGGCATAATATTTGGCATACTTGCCTACCTGCATGCTTTTACTATAAAATAGATTGCTCACATTTTTAGGCATTATAAACATTGCCATGTCTTAGTTCAAGTCTGTTGGAAGAGTGATAAATAGTTTCAAACATTTTAAGAGAAACTGTTTTTGATTGTCATTGGTGAAAAGCTGCACCTTGTTCATAACGGCAGCAGAACAATCATAGCTGCAGAGCCTTTCCTTGGGTGTCCAAGCCTATGTCTCTACCTCCCCCCACTGCTTGTGGGTCACCCAGAAAGCTTTCTTTGCTCCTTTCTAGGGGTTGCCAGTGTTACATGAGCTTGTTCCATCAGCTACTCCCTGTCTCCCTTGCCAACTGTTGGCCAATTCCCTTTCTAGAGTAAAATCTGTTGGCATGCAGTGATCAACATTCTTGTCTGATTGAAGTGCCAGAATGTTATAGAATTTCCTCTCCTTCCTCTCGATCCCTTGGGCTCCTCTGCCTTGCCTTGGTTTAAGGTTCTTTGAATGTTAATTAGGCTTTCACTGTCCTAGACAGGTTCTTTTGCTCATAATCTCAAAGTTACCATATTTCTCCTTAATTCCAATCTGTATCAGATATAAGTATTACCTTTGGGATGTTCTCCAGTATGTCATAAGTCATAATGCTTAATAGAAAGAGAATTTTTCACTGAACCTCAAGTTCTTTGGCTTTCACATGTACTCTGCTTGAATTCAGTAACAGAAATTGATCACTGGCACATGCTTTCATTAGCTGTGCTGTTCCTCCAAATTAAAATGATCAAATTAACTTGTTCACTTCATTTATAGTTGCCTGGACAATTTCTCTGTAAGTGAAGGCTGGGTGCATTATGCTCTGAAGGAAAAAAAGAAAAGGTTTGCTCCAGGTTTGGTGCCCTGGAAAGCTGACTTCTATGCTTAAACTGATTATGCAAATTAAGATGATTTCCATACATTTGGCTGTTTTGCATAATTGATGGTTTGCTAATTGTGAAGGTGGGTAGGAAAATCTGTAGAAGTGTTCTCTATGTCCTGAGATTCTATTGTACTCCTCCCATCTCCAATTATAAAGTATCACCGTGTTGTTTACTCACTCAAACGTGCGGAATAATGTTTTGGATCCGAACATCCATGACCAAGATCCCCTTGCACAGTGAGCTTTTCCTAATGCTGTGTTCCCATTGTGTCCCATTACAAATCTTTCATGAAGGTCAAGGAACCTTTATAACAATTTGGGCTTTGCTGCAGCAAGGAACAGTGAAATCAGCAAAAGTGAAGAGGAAGAGGAAATCAGTGAAAACTTAGATCTCTTTCCTTGCATGAAGTGAAGAGATTCCTGGTTATAAGTTCAGTCCAATACTAAATTTGGGGTTTCAATGGAATTTCACTATACATTTAAAGCATTCCAGCCTGAATATGTAAACTTCAACCATCTGAATAGTTTGATTCTCAAAATAAGTGTTGAATTTTTGCTTCCATGTATATAGGATCTGCTGAGCAGTATTGTATCAGTCCAACTTTTCAGGTCATTCTGCCCTATCATTGATTCTTGTGTCTTGCAGAGGCTGGATAGCATCTTCCCTTCCTATAGCTCTCATTTTTTGGTTACATTTCTGTCTTCCTTCTTTATGAATATGAAATCCAGTGTCGGACTGAACATTTGTATGGTGGTGGTGATGGGGTGATAGAATAGCTGAGAAAAGAGATTAGGATTTTTTTTTTCTTAAGGTGCCACAATATGATTTGTGATGGCGTTGTGGTTTGTGGCTTATAGACTATTTGGGTGTCCTTATTAAGAATCATCCAAGTGTTCCAACTGTTATAAAAGTGTTAAGGGCCCCTTTTTTACATAATTTCATAGATTCACTGCTGCCATCATCCCACCACAAATAGCAAGTGCAGCCCCAGCTAATGAAGAGTTGCTCATTCCTGTCTCCCGTTCCTGTATTGCAGACAGATATATCTACAGATGCTGAGCAAGTAGGCAGTGTTTTTCCCACACTCCACTTTAAGAGCATTTCTGTATTGCTATCTTGTCCCTGAACCTCTCTTTTTGTTTTGTCTTTGTTTTTTGCCTTAAAATAACATTTTGAAAAAAACATTTCTTATTTTTTAAAAATAAGCTATTGTACACCAATATTTGTGGTAGGCAGTGATAAAATGTTAGTCATGGTCCAAAGTGCTGCAAACAAAATCTTGCATTCCCTGACCAATATTTGCTATGTTGAGGTGTGATAGTCCTAACTATCAGCTGTGATAGTTCCTGGATACAAAGATGTAACATCCATGATCCTAAATTTTTGATGTTGTGTTTCTGTGTATGTGTCTGCTTTAAGTCTCTCTGTCTTTTTCTTTCACATATGGAAAAAATATTGAATTCAACAAAACAGAGTGAAGGTGTATAGACCTTGGACATATTCCACATACATCTGCGTGCACACTGTTCTGAATGATACTATGAAACTTTAAAGAGTAAGAATGGAGAATATTATGAAAGATTAAGAAAGAAATTTGGCAGCAATTAGCCCTGTGACTTAGCTAGGTTGTGGATGTCTCAAGCACTTTAAATGTTGCAAAACCATGTATAAACCAACTCTTTTATATGGGTGTACAAGCAGATTACCTGGAAGGCAGAATACCCAGGTAAATCTGTTGGAAGATACAAGTATACAGATTCATAACTCCATAATCTTATGTTCTGTAAAGCAATACTGGCAGTTAAGGTGCTGGGAGGCCTTAGACAAAAAGTTGCCCAATAATCAAGTTCACAGTATCTGGCTCCATTGTAGGTAATTATTTCTACCTGCAATATTTTGTCTAATGAATGTAATGAACTAATTATATTTTGTAATTCAGGCTTATCATTGACTTCAAAAAATGTTCTGTTAAGGAAGCATTTGTACTAGGCACTGGGTATGTATAATCTCTCACTTTGGAGAGAAAAAAACACAAAGAAATGCTGAAAAGTTTTGTCTGGAACCTTTCTGACCCCACAAAAGAGATTCTGCTCAGACATCATTTAGGGACATCTACTTTCTTCTCTGCACAGTGATGGAAGCCCAAATCTCATTCCAGCAGTCTAAACAGGTTCACTATTGGGAGGGAGCATCAGTTACTCCATATCCAACATTTGAATTGTTGGCTTGTTTTAAAGCAATATAACCAAAGTTTTGGGCCAAAGCTGTTTTGTTTAAAGCATAATTATCAGGCCTTTTTCCCCTTCTTATTCTTCCAATACTTTAAAAAAGCTGTATTTCTAGGGTGGTTCTTCAGAATATGCATACATTCAGTTTTTTGTACCAACCAGGACAACACACAACTTGCATGAAGTTAGTGATATGTTATAGAATGGAACTGTAATCCAGCATAAGAATAATTCTGTGTTTTCAGGTTCAAACTGTTCTGCTTGTTATTACCTCTAAGTTGCTGTTACTATTGTTGTTCAGATTAATCTTGTACTAGAGATGCTCATTTGGATTGTTTTTGATTCACAGCTGTCAAATTCAGTTGCATTGGAAGGGAAAGGACAGCTAAAGTTTACATCTGGAAAATGGAGTCCTCACCACAACTGTACTCAGATTGCCACAGCCAATGACGCCGCCATTCGAGGATGGGATATACGAACTATGAAGTAAGAAGTATGGTTCTTTATGTCCTTAAAACAAAAAGCTGACAAAGCAAGTTATCCCTACCTTTCTGGCAAGTCCCTCCTGCTTTGATAAAAATAGGCAGCAGAAACGGTTGCCATATTAGCTGTTCTAGCTTGCATGCCTGGCATAGCTGTAATAACTAACCTGTCACATTTTCGCCTGCCATTGCTTTAATAACTAACCTGTCACATTTTCCCCTTGTCTTTACATCTAATGAGATACACACCTTCCCTCTCTTGCTGAAGTAAATAATAAATCTCCCATTAGATAAAATGAAATAGATTACCCTGAGTGAATATTTTTTTAGAATGTCATTTGAACTCAGTAATATAGTTCGGAACTGACTAACACAGCTTTACATTTTGGATCTGGATTTAAAACCTCGTTGACTCTGATGCCTTGTTTCCTTTTAAAAAGTTTTACTTCTTTTTTTAAAAAAAGAAAAAACAACCCTTCAGTTTCTATTTGATTTTGATGGTATAAGATAATACACCAGGCATTTCCATTTTGTTAACAGCTAGCTTCTTGGTACACATTTATTTAGTGTTGGGGTTGCAACATATCACAATTTTGAATGCTAGCAAAGCTAATACTTCAGTATAAGAAATATAGGACTCCTTTTCTGGTCGAGTTGTGATTTTGATAAGCAGAGGAGTGATGTTGTGCACATCTGTTGCCATGACAACAGAAGTCTGTGCCAGCTTTTTTAAGATACAGCTTATCCCCTTAGCACACAGTAATTTATCACTAGCCTTGGAAGACGGATGTCTTGTAATAACTTCTACTGCCTTAAAGGGGGAGATGCCTTTAAATTCAGTTTTATGTTTCCTGCATGCTCATGGGGAGGAGGACTAGATTTCCATTGTTTCCAATTATGCTTCTTGATAGCAGCCCCCCCATCAATTCAATTAGGAAATGCTAAAAATACATGTTTAAAGTGCTTCATGTTTTTCAGCCACTTTCCCTTTTCATTTTCTATAAGAACATACATAGCAATGTAATGTCTGTGGTAGGCCATTACTAACAAATTGTTAGCCAGTCCATGACATCTTATTATCAGGTGCATTCTCCCACCCCAGCCTTTGTTGGTAGCCTATTTAGCAATTGACTAAACTTTCTTTTAGCCCTTTATGGCTTGGGCCACAACATCTTGAGGAGGGTTTGTGCCATGAGATTGTCCTCCTAGAGCCTGCCCAAGGTGGTCTCCCATGCTGAGGCTGCTTGGAAACAGGCCTTTCAGTTGTATTTTCCCTATCTCCCACAGAAGACATACTCTGTTTTTGGCTCCAGCTAAAGGCTGTTCTGTTCTCTCAAACTTTTAAGTCCTTTGTTATTCATTTATTTATTCGTACTGCTTTGCAGTGCTTCAGTCAAGCAAATCTGAATGGCTTACAAAAGCTATATGCCAAATAATATATGCAAAACAAGGACAAAAAGTCCATATATCTGCAAGTGTAGGTACATACACAGACACAGATACACATAGTTGTTGTTGTTCAGTCGTTAAGTCGTGTCCGACTCTTTGTGACCCCATGAACCATATTGCG